TCGCCTACTGACACTGTGGGACATGACAGTTTCTGCTACAGATTCTCACTTCCAGAATGACAAAGAATACCCAGGGGTTTGGGAGTGAGCCATTGGGTTTGCAAAGCCTTCAAAATGCACCGTGCTTGCATTCTTACTTCAGAAATCAAAGAACTGACAGATGCTCAAAAGCATCTGTTTAACTTCAAAATGAAACCAAAAAGGCTTTCTCAGTGATAACTTGTTCTGAAAGCTATCTTCAGATAGTAGGATAGGATTTTTTTTCCTTTCCCCCAGAACAGGTAGATTCTTTCTGGCATGCGGCATATCAAAAATATGATTTAGAACTGAAATAGTGAAACTATAATCCTTTCAAGAAAGTCAATTCATAAATTCTCAGACTTGTCCTTCCCTGGAAAACATAATCTAAACTGCTTTAAAAACTGGGCACACACATCCACCCTGTAATTCTAAAAATGAAGACAGCACAATGCTCATTTTTTTTTTTTTTGCTTTCTTTAATGTTAGACTGATGTAATTATTTTAGAAGTATTTTTCTTTGAGCTCAAATTTGTCTCCCCATGATATTTATGTATTATGACTTTAGTCCTTTGTGACAATGTAGAACTGGTCCAATCTTTCATCCACATAATTACTATGTATTAACCAAGAAGGTTAATAGGCTTAAATCATGACAATTTAGGTCTATATTTTATGGAAGAATTCCTGGACCTTTAGGAACACAGTTGGGTCTCCAATAAAAAGTTTCAAAGGCATTTGGAATAAAGGAAACTCCCAAGTTTAAGTGTGTTCATGTGGCTTTCTTTTCATAAGAAATTGAAGATTATATTTAGTTTGATAAAAACCTTTCCCAGGCATTTTTAAATTGTAAAGCAGCATGTGGAAATTGTTGTTTTACACCGCTAATTTATATACTGTCTTTAGGGGGCAGTATTAGACCACTGATAAATTTTGTTATTTCTGCTAATGCAGCTGGTAATGGTTAATATAAAATAAAACTAAAGTAACTATAGTGAGATTTACAATGAAATTATATATACCCCTTAATATTAGTAAAATTTTTTAGGTAGTTAAGTGAAAATGATAGTTTGAAATTCATTGATAATTCATTCAATAAATAATTGTTAAATTCTATAATGCATACACATTATAAGAGATACAAATGTGAATAAGACAATGTTTGCTTTCAAATAACTTACAGTTAACTAGGATAAATAAGTTGTGTGTGAGTGTGTGTGTGTATGTACAACTCTTTCAGGATAAAGATAATAAAAATAACTATTTTTCACGTGACAGTCACTATCATGCAATTAATTTTTATCCTTGTACAACCCTGTCAAGTAGGAATTATTATTTTACCTACTTTTCAGATAAAGAAGCTAGGAATAATAAGATTATGCGATTTTCTCTAAGTAGCACAGTTGAAAACAGCAAAGATGTGTTTTAAATATATATATCTATTTGATGTCACATCTGCTTCTCTTTGTCACTATGCCATCCATCATCTCAAGGTCTATGTGAAATACTATAATACTCAAACTCACTCAAAGAGCTACAGACGTTTAGAAGAGAGCCATATCATTTCTGTTTGTGGGAAATCTAAAAAGTGGAATCTGAGCTGTATTTTGAGGAATCAGTGGGCTCATAAGATAATAATAGCTAAAATGGTAGTTAATATGTATTGAAACCTTATTATGTGTCAGGCACTTTATATTCATTACCTTATTTAATTATCAAAAAAATTCCGAGGGAGATTTCTTTTATATTATTTCCATTGAGTAGATAAGGCAAGAGAGGCTGACAATGGTCATATTTGACAAAAATCACGCTAATAAGTAGGCTAATAAGTAGGCAAGCTGAAAATTCAAAACAAATTTTAGAGCCTGAACTCTTTACCAGTACAATATGCTGCATGGAGAAGTAAGATGGAAGGCATGAATAAATGCATCGAACATGATTAGGGTATAGTAGAGGAAGTAAAAGTGTTGAAAAATAGTTTTACCATAGAACCTTGCGGAATTTGGGTATTATTTACCGTACAATGTGAAGTAATTTATGAGCAAAGAAGACACATAAACAGGGTGTTTCTCTGGAGAGAAGATAGAGGAAGTTCCCTGTAAAATTGGATCAAATAATTATAGTACCGTTAACATAAATACAAAAGAACTGATTAATTTGTGAAATGTTAATTCTTACCATGAATGTAATGATTTATGGTGCTATGCCATGTCAACATTGACAGTCAAACAAACTGATCATGAGTTGGTGAAGGAGAGGCCTATTTGGTTATTTTATTCTATTTTGTAGACAGCATTGACCATACACATAGATGCTCTTGCTAGATTAAAGTTTTAGATGCCCCAAGATTTTCTCACCAAGATGTCTGTAGGATGAAAAATCCCTGTGATTTTCACCTTTTGTTACTGATTTCAGAAATGTGTTTTCATGAAAAGATGGGTGACTATGTACAAAATCATAGAAATTTTAGTCATCACAGAGAGCAAATTGTTTTCAGGAGTGTCATCATATAGCAGAAATATATTAACAAATACACTTTTTAAAAAATTTGAACTGCAATTACGTCAGCTTGGTTATTCTTTTTTTATTTTTTATTTTTTTAAATTTAATTTTATTTTTTCAGTGTTCCAATGTTCATTGTTTATGCACCACACCCAGAGCTCCATGCAATACATGCCCTCCTATTTACAGGATATTGTGTTGAATGAGAAACAATGTAACATAGTGGTCAAGGGTGTCAGCTCTGGAGTCAGGCAGTCTGGATTGGAATCCTTTTTCTGCCACTTAACAGCTCTCTGATCTTAGTTTTACTTGACCTCCCTGTGCCTTAGTTTGTGAGAATTAAAATAAAAAGTGTCACATAGTAAATGCTCAATCAGTTATAGCTATTATTATCATTGTATCTTACAGGCTATAACTGCTTATGGGGCTTTTTAAGTTTATGATTTCTCAGTTATTGAAAGTTGATCAAGGGAAATTTAAGATGTGAATGTAGAAAAATAAAGTCTTTTATTTTTTTAAGGATTTCTTTGTTTCAGAGTGTGAGAGAGCACAAGCACAGGGATGGGGGAGGCGCAGGAGGAGAGAGAGAGAGAGAGTCTTCAGTAAGGAGCCACACATGGGCCTAGATACCGTGACCCTGAGATCATGATCTGAGCTGAAATTGAGAGATGAATGCTTAACCGACTGAGCCACCCAGGCACCCTAAAGTCTTATATTTTAAAGTCACAACTTCTGGGGCAGTCAAGGGGGTACCATTTACAATTTAATATATACAGTATTTTCACTAACTTCAATAGTCACAATATGTAAGTATGTGTCCAACACTACCTTCTGAAGACTTTTACCTTTTTTTATAACAAAAAAATCAGTTTGCTGAGCATTCATCAGGTTCTTTGAATATGGAATTTTCATCAGTTTTGGCAAAATTCCTTGCACTGTTACTTTGATGATTTCCTTCTACCTCTACATGGAGCTCTTAATTTGATCCCTGATTTGTTAACTTTTAATTTTTCCTCATCTTTAGTTCTATCTTCTGGGAGATTTCCTCAGATTTATTTTTCACCTTCTATTGGGTTTTAGTTTTAGGTATTTATTTGTTTAATAGCATTCTGTTCTCTTTTCATGGATGCAAGTATCTTCTATTTGTGGATACTATTTATAACTTTTTTCTGTATATTAATTTTTATCTCTGTTAAAGGCTTTCTTCAGATGTGTGATGATGGCTTGGATTCTCGTTCATATTTACCTAAAACTGATTATCTGGGTAGAGATTTTTTGAGAGGTGGGCTTCACAGTAAGAGTTAAGGCATAGGACCCCATCATTTTACTAGGGACTTACAGATCTTTTTTTCTTGGGAGGTCAGTTTCTGCAGAGGGGACTATATTGTCATCTCCCGCCTGGGGGATATAAACCTAGCTGCCGTATTATCTGGGGCAAATGTGGGCAGGCACTGGAATGGGTTGGGAAGCTACAACTACTAGACATTCAATTATTTTCTTTGTTTTTACAGAGACACCCCTCTGTTAACTGTGCATGGAGTTTTAGAATTCCTAATCTCTTTGTTTCAATGCCACCAGAAAATAAACCTCCAATTTTTTTGTCAGTGGTGAAGGTTTAGTTCCTTGGCCAGTTGAGAACGTGGGTCTGAGTCTATCCTGTTGCAGCTCACCTGCACATACATCTTCATGGAAAGTCAGTCTCTCTGATTCTTAAGCCCCTTTGGTGGCACTGAGCCATGAATAAACATGCTGCTTATTTTTCCTCTTGTAGACATTTTGTTTTCAGTTTTCTCAAGTTTGCTAGATCAGGTAATTCGTACCCATTTGTTTATCATTATCTTAAAGTTTTCTTGTTATTACTCATCTGCTAATCTGTTTATCCATTTGTTTATCATTATCTTAAAGTTTTCTTGTTATTACTCCTCTGCTAATCTCTCTCCTGTTGTCCTTGTCCTTATGCATGTTAGACCATTTTTACAAATGGTTCAACACTGAAGTCCTATTGTTAATTTTAAAGTATTATTCCCGTTACACATACGATATAAAATTTTATGAAGTTCATCTTTTTTGAAAAGGAGACATTGTGGAAAAAAATGTGCTTTTAGCAATTCTTATTTCAATAAAGTATTTTCCCTCTATTCCTCTGATTGCATTTAGAAATGATAAGATTTCTCTAGTTTGTTGCTGCTGAGATATTTTCTTGGGTCATTTTCATGTCTATTTTTCATTATGAACTTTGAATCTTAATAGTCTTTCTCACCCAGTTTTTTCACATTCAGTTTTTTTTAAACATTCAACTTAAATTGAGTTATCCAAGTTTTTGTCTTAGTCCCATGGCACAGCCTCATAACTATGGTGAATATTAAGCTGATTTTGCTTGCTAACATACACTATAAGAAAATAATGTAATTTTTAATTGATGTTAAGATATCTAAATAACATTCAGATAATATATTGGTATAATATAAATTTAATTTCAGAGAACTTCATCTACAATAAATTTGTCACCAGGAGAAGTGGAAGATGATGATGATGATGAGAACACTTGTGGGCCCTCAGGACTCTGGGAAGCATTAACTCCTTGTAACGGATGTAGGAACCTTGGCTTCCCCATTCTTGCACAGGTAATGGTTTGCTTTTCTCAAGATGTAGTAAAATATAAAAATACTTGCCCATGTTTTTAAGGAAATCTTTTTTTCTCTCTTCCTGGAAATCTAATAAACATCTTACTCATTTTGTAATTTTTCTTCAGTTAAAGGTCAGTTTATCTAACTTGCTGTACATGTGTGCACACTCAAACATATACTTTATATCATTTTATGTGGTTGTTTTATTTTGATCATGATGCTAGTTCCTGAAAAATTGAGTTGTTTTTGAGATTTTTAATATTTATGATCCAGAAATGGTTCATTTAAAGAATGCTTTTTCAATTACAATTTATATTAAAATAATAGAAAATGATTTTCAAGGAAACATGGAAGGGCTCTTTATAAGCATTGTCACTGATTTTTTTGATTTTTTAGCACAATGAAACATTGTAGAATAATGTTCATCATTGAAATTATGTAGGACAATCCAAAAATGAGACCAAAACTCTAAAATATTGACTATAATTTTGAAACCATCTCACTATTTGTTAAGTCAGTTTTATTCTATTGCATTACCTTCAAATTACCATTGTGTATTTTGGACCACAAGCTTATGGAGGAGTTTCAAAAATAAGTAAAATTATCCAGAGCTGGGAAATTCAATGCCACAATGAAAATATGAAGAAACATTTAATACAAAATCAGTGTAATGGCAAAGGTATGTATGTCTAACTACGTAGTGCATGTGTGGAAAAATAGTCTTGGACAGATAATAATTTGCAGTAATTGTCCAGAATAGCGTTACATCTCAAAAATATTTTGTTTTGCCTCAAGTATGAAGCAATTATGTCTAAGAAAAAAATCACTTTTTCATGTCTTATGTCACAAATTGACCAGAGCCACTCAACTTCCAATATTAATTTATTGTAGAGAAAATCAAATAAACATATACTGCTTAAAGAATCTCTTCACTTTAACGTGAACTATTTTTAGGACTTTAAGACACTATCTTACTTATTACAGAATTGTTATCAATATATACTGGACCATGAGTTCCATAAACATAGAGATTATTGTATTACATCTATTTCTAAGGCCAACATAGTTCTTGGTATATTGTCAATAGTAAGTAGTAGTTGAGTGGAATAATGAACAAATATGTGTATTTGGGAGTTTCATTTCCTCAAAGAGTTTCCTCAAAGAAATATAGATTTTATTCTATTCATATAACCTCATCTGCTTAAGACTTTACTAGTAATCAAATGCTTTTATCTATTTTACTTGTTTTATAAGATAAAGTACTAGGACTCTGAGCCATCAATAATATATGACTATAATTTACTTCTCTACCACCTTCCTAAATATTTACTTTTTTCATTTTATTAGGCTTGGTAGTAGGCTCAGTAGTAACGATTTTGGTTTATAACTTTTTAATACTAGATATTTTTCTTTGGTCATTTTCTGGTGAAGATTGGCAAATAACAATTTTTTAATAGTTACATTTACCACCTTTAATTTCCCCCTTAATTTGTATATGAATGTATTTTGTGTCATTTTTTAAACTATCAAATTCTTTAAACTTCTTCATTTTTTTGTTTGTTTAACTCGCCTCATCTAGAGATAATTCCCACTTCTCTCATTATATTGCACCCTGTTTGATTTGGATTTTCTTCTGAAATCTCTTATTCTGTTGTTCTATTTTTAAGACCATATGACTCAGTTTTGGTATTTTTACATATAATGCAGGAGAAATCATGATTGCATTAATTAGCTGACATTATTGTTTACTATTAAAAATTTATATTTTATAAAAGTATCCTTATTAGTATTTTAATTGTTACTGTATTACATCTATAAGTTATCTGAGATATATTGTTTTTTTTACTCTATTTAATGTAATGAATGAAGAATAGAATTCTTTTATTAATATTTTCATATGGACTTCTACTAAAGTTCTCAATTTGGGGATGGACTCTCCTTTAACATATGTGTGTATACTTAGAATAAAATTTAATACATTTTTTGTGACATTGGAGACATCATATCAAATGTAAATTGGTCCTACAATTTGCAATAGCTTTGAACTTAGAATTTTGTAGGCCAGCTTCAAAATAAGTTTTCTTAAAATTTCATGAATAACAGGATTTTATTTTGAAGTTTCTTTTTTAGATCTGAAATAAAAATCATTAAGCCAACCACTGTGCATATAAGGTCTCAAGAAAAACCATTACCTTACAGTTTGGTATAGGAGCCTTTGTGATCAGTGGAATTAGTATAGTGCTATGCAAACTTCTGTACACTCAGATTTGTTGGATTCAAATAAAATATATTTATTTCACATTTATAACTCCTAATGTAACTGGATCCAACACACATGTATCAGATATCTATATTCAAAGCATAGTGCTAAACTTCAGAAACATGAGGATTATGAAAATTCAGACTTAATTAAAACTATGTGATGTATTACATTTAGAATCTTAGATTTTTTACTTGCAGAATTAGAACACTGGCTGATCTTGTAGATTTTACACTTCTAAGATTATCTAAACCCTAGTTTTTGTCTAGATTTTGAATTGATCCTATATTCTAGTTTTAGCTAATTATTCTGCTTTCCTAGTTTTAATATGGCATTTTATTCTTCCATTGTGACAAGATGTTATTTAGAATTCCAAATATCTACAAAGAAATTTAGAATTTAAATAACATCAGGAAATTAAAATTAAGATTTATACAATATATTGGGTACTTTAGTATCAAAGCAGTTAAATAACATTTAAGTCATGCAAAAAACAAGAATAAAGACTGGGGAAATGAATCCCTTTCTAGAAAGTATAGTTTTTCAACACTCCTGATAATAATATTTTTATAATAAATAATCACCACCATTTGTTTCTGTCCCTGGTGTTATATTTTGGGGATTTTAGAATTTTTTTGGTTAATACATGTAGATGAAAAATGGATGAGGGCCTTTGAGAGTAATCTTTAGCATTTATTCTGTCATCTGTGCATTTATTTATTTATTTATTTATTTTAAAGATTTTATTTATTTATTTGACAGAGAGAGATCACAAGTAGACAGAGGCAGGCAGAGAGAGAGGAAAGCAGGCTCCCTGCTGAGCAGAGAGCCCGATGCGGGACTTGATCCCAGGACCCTGAGATCATGACCTGAGCCGAAGGCAGCGGCTTAACCCACTGAGCCACCCAGGCACCCTCATCTGTGCATTTAATTACAAATATCAAGTTAAGGGAAAGTTAAAGATAGGTCAGAGCCTGATCAGAAATTGCCATTTGTTTTTATTACTACCCTTCCCTGTTAATAGAGCATATGTTATTAGAGCAGAGAATTTGAGTTGAATTGTATTAGGATGGATGATATTGCTTTCCTTCACAGTCTTATATGAGATGTCCACCTCTGCACCACGTGCAGGATAAGACTTTGAAACTCTTTTTTCCTAAAGAGTCAGTCCTGCTGGGTGGAAACCTCTGGCTTCCATCCTGTTCACTCACGTAGCCTTCACTCTGTAAGTTTGTAATGAGGGGGTCCCAATACTGAGTTGTTAGCTGTTTTTGCAATGGGCTTGCCAGTAGTTTCTGCTCTTGGAATCACCATATTTATGCTGCCTTCTGGGAAGAGGTCAGTAGCTCCTACTGATGTGCTAAAAGTAACCTCTGAGTATAAGCAGGGTTTACAGCCCTTGCTAACAACAATATTAAGACATGTCCAATGCTCCCACTATGACCATTCTAGCGGTGCTTCTTCCTGAATCTGTGAAGGCTGCTCCTGTCACCATCCCTGCCCTTTTCTCTGATACTGTAGGCTTTGTGACTGCAGAAGTGTGTGAACTGTTGAATGCAGTTAAGTGTGGGAGGCATGATGAATTCATTCCTCCCCAGCATAACCATAAGAGGTGGTCCCAAACAATTCAGGGTTCATGTGAAGACTCCTGATGTCAACTTGATCTTGATCCCTTCCATAGAAATGAATGACATTTGTCTATGGGAAAGACAAACGAGTGAAATAAAGAAAGTGAGACCTTTTATTCCTATAGCGAAACAATGAGAGCTTATAATAAGATTGAGATCTCAAGTTCAATCTCCTGTTTGTTGGAGGAATCCTTCTCTTCAGTGTTTCCACAATGACCACATGATCATTCCAGTTTTGCTTGGACAATTCCAGTGCCAGCCAGCACATTATTATAATTCATGAATGAATATCCTCATATACTTTTTTTTGTACACTTGTGTTAGTATTTCTGCTGGCTAAGTGGCATGCACTTTAATATTCTGATAGCTACTAACAATGCTCACAAGCACATCCCTGTATATCTGATGTATACAAAATCAGTACATGGTGATCATGGAGAGATATGGTGGGGAGGCTATGGTCAGGATGCCACAGATGGCAGTATAGTATTGGACGTGAAATTAAGAGTTGCTAACAGCTAAGGAAGATCTGAAATATAGCATTGGGGAACACTTTGCAACACCCAGAACTTCCCCAATGAGACATGGCCTCCAAATGGAGGCTCTTTTGGCCCTGAACCCATCTAAATGTAATGAATTTTCTAGGTGAACCTCGGTACCAAAGGCTCTGCAGGACTTTGAGCTGCTCTCCCATAGCACCCTGGCCCCATCTTTTAGAGTATCTGTGAAGACTTACCTCTGGGCTATTGTCCTCTTCTTCAAACCCAGTTATGTCCAGCGTGTCTCCAACCGGGATGGCCTGGGAACCACTGTAAGCCTCTACTGGTGGTCTCAGAATGTAAACAAGGTTTTCCCAGTAAATGAAAAGATCTTTTGTATTAGAAGGAGGACACAGCTGAAGGTAAAAAGAGCGGCCAGTGGCAAGCTTCAGGCGGAGCTGTTGTTTTTTACCATTATGGATGGATATTGTTACAAACTTCAAGGGAAACAGTCTGGTTAGCTCTAAGATCTGTGAAGGCTTGGAACCTTTTTCTTGGGTGGCAGGACCATGTCTGTTATAGTCATCACAGATAGCAGCTGGTCGGGCCAGCAACATGACATCAGGTAGTGTGAGGTGGGGGCTTGTGTGAACAATGCCCACAGTTACCATTCGGGCACGGTTGTGCACGTCGATCACTTCTCCTTTTTTACTGACCTGTATAAAGTCACTCTCAAACATTGGGGCATACTTGAATATCGTATATTCCCCCTTATACAGTTGTTGCTGCAGTTTCCCCATGGAGGTATTAAACGTACCCATTGCGGGGCTGCTTTGGGCTGTGTAATGTGGTAACTTAGATTGATTTTTCATGGCTATCTTTTACCAAGGAAGGACTCCTAGGGGTCCTCCACACTTTACCACACTTGGGAGGGTGTCCTATTTCCCTGGTTTCTCTAGCAGGTGAATTAGCAGTGGTCTTTTGCAGGCTTTTTTTGTCTGAGTAACTGAGAACAGGGTGGGGTTACTGATTACCAGTTGCTCAATGCTAGAGACAATTGCACCTGCACCAGACTGTGCTCTGCCTAGAACATGGAGATATTGGGGTGCACAGTGTTAGGGACCCAGTAGATGACAGGGTGCTCAGATATTGAGTGGAGAAGTCAGGGCCCCAGTAGATGTTACCATGTGCAGATGTAGAGGAGTAGAAGTCAGTGCCCCAGTAGATGTCAAGGTGCACGGACGTTGGGACCCCAGTAGATGCCAGGGTGCACAGATGTGGAGACCCACAGAGGTTGGGGCCCAGTAGATGTTATGGTATGCAGATGTGGAGGAGCAAGAGATCCAGGCCTCAGTAGATGTCAGGGTGCACAGATGTTGAGGTGCTCAGATGTTGGGGTCCCAATAGATGTCAGAGTGTGCAGATGTTGAGGCGTGTAGTTGTTGGTATTCACTTGGAGTGGGGAGGGGACCTCCTCTTGAGCCTGACACACTGGTTCACAGTAGCCTCTGCTTTTTTGGATTCCACAACCTCACTGCCAGTTGTATTTGTACTGCTCCTCTCTTCCCAAACTGAAGCCTCCACCTAGGCTTAAACCACCCCACAGGACCCCTTTTATCCTCTCCTGCCCATTGTGACCTGTGCCCATCACACACCCCTTTGTCTCTGTTGCTCAACAGCCCCTCCCTCAGAGCAGGGGCACTGTCCTCTCCACCGCTCCCTACCCATCCTTACTACTCCGCCCTATCTACCTTAGGTCAGCACAACCCCTTGCCCCAGGGACCCATTGAAGGATGTTAATATATGGGTAAATTGCTTTCCAAAAGGTTTCGGTAAAATTTCTGTTAGGTATGAGTTTAAAATATACACACTCTCTTATCCATTACTTTTAGTTGTAGTCAATTAGAATTAATTGTAGAAATTTATCTTGAGGGGCACCTGGGTGTCTCAGTGGGTTAAGCCTCTGCCTTCTGCTCAGGTCATGATCCCAGGGTCCTGGGATTGAGGCTTGCATCATGCTCTCTGCTCAGCGGGGAGCCTGCTTCCCCCTCTTTCTCTCTCTGCCTGCCTCTCTACCTACTTGTGATCTCTGTCTGTCAAATAAATAAATAAAAATCTTAAAAAAATAAAGAAATTTACCTTGAAGAAAGAATTGGACAAGTTGGTAAATAGGTTAGTATGGGGTATTTATCAAGGTTTATTGTAACAAAAAAAGATCACAAATGAGATTAATATTTTACAATAGGGGTTTGGTTAAATAAATTATGGAGTATTCTGTGATAAAGTACTCTGCAGTCATGAAAATCATTATGTAGTTCCCTATTTGACATGAAAAGATATCCCTGATATTTTTTTTCTTAAAGATAAAGAGCAAAGCATAAAAGATTTCAAACAAGTGTTGTATGTGTGGTTCAGTGTATGTAAGATCATCTGTGTGTGTGTTTGCATGTGAAAGTATGTTCAAAGACATGTTTAAAGTGCTTATCTCTGGGTGATATAACTTTTATTTTCTTTATAATTTCTATTTTTATTAGGATAATTTCTATTAGTGGGAAGAATAAAACTATTTTTATTAGCAATGTCTATTTTTACAGCCATGATACATTTTATGTTTTTATTTATTTATTTATTTATTTATTTTTTTAATTTTATTTTTCATAAACATATAATATCTTTTTATCCCCAGGGGTACAGGTCTGTGAATCGCCAGGTTTACACACTTCACAGCACTCACCATAGCACATACCCTCCCCAATGTCCATAATCCCACCCCCCCCCCAC